CGAGAAAACGAAGCTGATCAAATTCCTTGTTCCTCTTGCTCAGCAAATGATTGCGCAGGGGAGGGAAAGGACGGCTAACAGGCGCAAGCCCGGCATGGGGAGGCCACCAAAAATTTCAGGAGGATCATCAACGTTGGGGACCATATGCCACTACAGTTAAAAACGCGTCGGCGATGTAGATACTGCGCGATGTCAAAGAAAGAAACTCGTACAAAAATAATGTGTGCTGCTTGCAACGTGCCCTTGTGTATATCATGTTTTACTCCGTACCATTCATAGACCATATAATGTTGACCTTTTCAAACTTTTTTTTTGTAAAAATTTTCGGGTCATTGAAGACTTTAATATTGTAAAAAATGTGTGGTTGTAATCATTAATTGCCAATTTATTAAACAAAAAAATCATCCGAGCGGAAATGGTGTTATGACAAGACGGGCCGCTACCGCGCGCATGGTCCCTAGATCAAATCCCAGGTCACACCCAACGTACATCAGCCAAATTTCTACAGCTGGTTGCCTGTTGCTGGGAGGGATAATTGCAACGCAGAACACATTTATAACTCAATTTCAAAAAAGTCGTAGTCTAAGGGTTTGGCGTGGGGAGAATTTGAATAAACAATTCCAATGGTAAACCAAAACGAAATATCTGCAAGCATAGAGCTAGTGGTGTGATGCGGAAGGCGTCGGCCATTGATCCAGAGGAGATCGGCAACTGCGAAAACTGATGTGAAAAGACAGTAGAATTTTTCACCAAGACTGCGTTGGGATTCGATCTCCTTCCCTGGATGTTGATAAGAAGAACTTTATGAAAATGGAATTGAAGGATCTCACACAATCAGCCTAATCCACAACACCTGCCTAAGCATAACTTCAGCAGACTATGTAAGAAGGCACTCACGGTCCAATAGCGTCAAGATCTTAAAAAGTAGAAATTTGTATTACTTGCAAAAATGATGACTTCCATCGAGACTCTGTGTGCTGCCAACGCCTGAAAATTGGAAGATGTTGCGCGATATACAACATACAACATGGATTACGTTTTTGCTTGATCTATAAAGTGTCCGACGTTACCGAACGAATCATATTCGATAAGTGCGAACCGATCCGCCTGTCCTCAGTGCTAGTGACTTATTCTTTAGTGAGATAGATGCCGCACTGAAACACTTCGCATCTAGCAGGTGTCGGCATCGAGTTTTGTTCCTTTATTCTACAGACAATGATGAAGCAACTACTTGTTGTCCAGACTGTGACTGGAATTGGCTGCTGCTTGCTGAGATTATCCCATCATGATTCGTCAGCTTCCTCAGGAATTTGAGTGAGCATACTCATTGATTGTTGCTTTCCTTAGCCTAAAAATTTTCTTCGTTCCTTCCTCAGGTGGTCTCAATGCGCAGTCCTTTTCAGGAAGTGCTTCAAACCTTACCTTTCATCTGACCTTCTGAGCTTCAGCCAAGCCACTTTGCCTTGGCATTCTATGGAGATTGTCAGACAATTCTTCACATGATCGTGCTAACTTCAAACTTTCTGGCCAGCTTAATCGTGCTCCCAAAATTGCGGTCGACTCATTTCTTTGCAGTTTTCTGAGGATCCAAAGAAGCAGAAATCACGGGACGGTGCAGCAAGCACCACTGTCCACAGCTCCTCTTTTTTATGCCGGCGGAAGTTCAGGCACCAAACGAGACTTGTTTGAGAATGCCCTCCTTCGCGCGGAGATATTGCTGTTCTATTTTTCTGTGGACGTACCCTTTAATTGGAAAACTAACGAGCAGCCGAAAACTTGACAAGATTATTAAGAGGAATATGAGCGAAGTACTGATACGTCATCTGTTTTTCAAAAATAAAAATAATCCGCCAATAAAAAAGACTGGCAGTATTTGTTGAAATAATCATGGTACACCCTGTTTCACTCATTGTTTGTCAATATCCAGTCATATGAAGTATGTATGTAGCGAAGAGATTTGCCAATGTTGAAGAGAAATCCTGCCACGGAATCCTGCGCAAAATTCTTGCACTCTTTCTCTAACATGAATGTGTCAGTTGTGATCACTGGAAACAGCACACAAAGTTTCACGCATGAAGATTCGGTTTCCGAAGAGAAACACAAAAACTATGGACAATCGAAGGTAATTCGGGCGGAGCCAAAGGCGAGGCATGGAAAGTTGGCCTTTGGCCGGCTACGTATCAGGCGACGCAATGAAAGAATCGGGTTAAAGCGCGCGATTTCGGAGAGTAGAGACAAATCGATCGATAGAATAGGATGGAGTAGAAGTGTAAGATGTGAATGCAATAAAGCAGAAGGCCAGAAAGTTTCTAGTGAAGGCACTCCAAGAACCAAGTGGAAGCATCCCCGTCGCCAGCATTTGTGAAAGACGTCCGTGGGCACTTTGAACGCGTAGCAGCCCTTTCGATTTTTCGAATTTTTTACCAAAACAAAAGCAATATTTCTGTTCTTTTCATTCTTATCGTGGATAATGAGTCTCAAGCCAGTGATTTATGGCTGAAATAGAATCATGATTTTTCCGTGAAGGATTCCTTTAAGTCATCGGCCACGTCGACTTACGTAGGCTAGTTTACACAAGGGTGCGGTCTTCGTATTGAAGCGTGCTCTTTGTCAAGTTAGAAGCTAGTTTTGACACAAAGAACACTCAATACGACGAAGCCTATGACAATGGCTACGTCGCTTGTATAAATGCACCCGGTACTTCGTCGTCGCTTATCGAGAAAAGGGTGACGACTGAAAAGCAGCCAATATAAAAGTAAAATGATTCAGTAGCCCTAGCACAGTTTGTTGGAGCCTTCGGTACAAGGGCTATCCTGAGTGTTTCTATGTTCAAAAATTGTACGACCACCCCCGTCAGGGGAGGGTCTCTATGCACCCCTTCCCCTCATAACCACCATCAACCTTCGAGTTGTCCCTTAATGCGACCCCGTACCACTCCCGATCACCACTTCTCCCATTATGGCTGTTTCTACAGTTCTTGATTCCGACACCACTCAGCCCGAACCCGTCAACTTCTTCCTTTCAAATGGCAGCCGACAGAGAATGGGTGGAAGGGGACAGCGGAAGGTGAATGGGTCTAACGAGATGATTAATCCTCCGACCTTCTCTTCTCGACTCTGTTTTAGGCTTCTTTCATGAAGTTTTCCTCACATTGTTCAAAGCCCCTTCGAAAGGACCCCCTATCTTGCACCTCACGCAATCACGACCCCTTCAACATCCACAAATATGACCCCATCTTAGATCTTGTGACCTTCGCTAAGCCTCAAGCACTCACATTGCACTCAACGCAATGATAATGAAGTAAAGGATAGAATATTCGGCGTAGATCAATCCTCTTTTCGAAATGCGCTGCACATTCTATCTCATCCCTTATGATAACGCTTTTTCGAGAACCATTGGGCCTCTGCGATGACGCGAGGGCGCCGCTTTTTCTTCCTAGAAGCCTGTTATCAATTACCCGAGCCCGGAGTGATGGGAAGGCTTTGTTGACCTGTAAGGCACACGAACGGAATTTCTTACACCCCGGATTGTGCGAGTGGTAAGCAGCGCCACTTGCTACTACACCATCTCCGCCCGACAAATAGCAAGCATCCCACTATACAGTTTACTCGACCGCGGAAATAAGAGAATTGAAAGGCTTAATCTCATAATGAGGTCGTGTCCTTTCAAATGGCCGAGAAGAAGCTGAAAAAGATTCGGAAAAACACGTGACGTTGGAGGTACACGTGCACATCCAGATGAAGTCAAGAAGTAGCCTGAAAAAGATAGGGAGCAAACTCACCAAGTTATCTGAGAAAATTCTTGTTCTTCGGGAAGCCACTTCGGCGGCCGCGCTCCAGCTCTTTCATCGTGATTCCTAAACACAGTGCCCGCCGATGCAATGGACTTCCAGACTGCGCTAGCGTGCTCCTTATCTGCTTGCTCAAAGTAGGGTTGCATATGAACTCGCGGAAAATATACGCCCACTAAAGGCTTTCCCTGAACGTTTCTGTCCCCGAGTTCAAACGTAGCATATGAAAAGTAGCAACAAGGTACTGACTTCCTTTCCAGCCGAATGAACCGCACTGCAAAAGCGATGGGAAGAAGAAGAAAGGAAGAGACAATAGAACTTGAACAAATGGAGTGAGATACGAAACCGTCAGCGAGAAGTTGATCCAAGCTCTATAAAACAAGAGTTTTCGCTATGAAAAGTGAAACTGCCTTGTCTCAAATGTGATTTCACACCACTAACTCATCTCTTTAAAATCGCTATCTCCTCCTGCTGAGTTGCGGTCTCGTTGCTTGCAACAACTACTCAAAAATCCCCTCCTTTGCTACTAAGATAATCCGACGACCCCCAGACTCTACTAGTGTCCCATCCTGTCACCGTTCGCAGATACCGTAGCATTGCAACTCACCAGGGACGTCTTTCAGGTCGTGCTTAGCTTTTGCCAAACAGTGTTTTGCATTACATAGGGACATGTGAGCATGGAACTACATATGTGCCCTTTCCAGAATGCGCTTCTGAAGGACAACACGCGGGCGGACAAGTTCCAGATTCCCGGTGTACACCTGAGGATTTACCAAAGTGGTACCCACCCGTAAGTGGACGTCTCATTACTACCTGGAACATCTGGAACCCAAAGAGTGGATTTTTATCAGGAACTGACTTCAGAAATGTGGTGTGGCGCTTGAGCTTTCTTAACCCATTTCCTGGTGTTCAGAAGGCTGCTGACGAAAAACAAATCGTAGATGTGTGAATAATGCATGTGCCACTAGATCATGCGAAAACCGTTTTTCAAAAGCGGGGCACGACCTTAAAGGCCTTTCTGAGCAAGGTGAAAAATAAGTTAAGAGGAAAAAACTTAATCCTAACGATCCTATGTAAGGTACCATATGGTGACAATTTCCACTTTACTGCTATAATTTTTATTTACAACAATATTTCAAATGTGCACAAAAAAACCCTGAGTGACATGCAATTCGTGGTCTAGTTGGCAGGCCAGTAAACTTCATAGGCATTATTGATGGCATTCCACGTAGTCGACTATATCTCGTAACGTTGAAAATGTCTCCACTGTTTCGGCGTCAGTTTCCAACTGAAATCAGAAATATAATTTCTTTCAATTTTACTTATTTTCATGCTGTACTTACTTTGAAGTGATATGTGATCGCTCCAGCTATGACCTCGTAAAAATAGCTGTGGTCGACGTTGACATCTTTTCGAATATCGAAGGTCATATCGATTTCATCGAGACTCTTGTTTGAAAATAACGACACGAGGCGACGTAATTTATCCTCTGTCTAAATACAAATATTGACATTACTCCGATAGGTGACACATTCAAAAATCTTTTATTTGGTCATGGGCTCTATACAAGTGGGGTGGGCACGCCCAGCTTTTCACGCATGTCAAGTGACTGCCCTCACCCCCCCCTAGATTGGCTACACTCCCCCTGGCTCACGAATTCCCCGATTCTCGTGACAGTATAGTAGCGGGCAGCAGTCCCACTTACATACATTTCTGTTCAAAAAATGCGGCGTGCCCACCCTACTTGTATAGCACGTGGTCTTTGAAGACCAGCCTCTTCGGCTCTATACAAGTGGGGTGGGCACGCCCAGCTTTTCACGCATGTCAAGTGACTGCCCTCACCCCCCACCCCCTAGATTGGCTACACTCCCCCTGGCTCACGAATTCCCCGATTCTCGTGACAGTATAGTAGCGGGCAGCAGTCCCACTTACATACATTTCTGTTCAAAAAATGCGGCGTGCCCACCCTACTTGTGTAGCACCGCTCCCTTCTTTTATTTCATGACCCTAGAAGGGGATGAGGGTAGTTGTGGACCTTGGATACTGAGGAAGGTTAACTGAGGGTGATGATCGAGGCGCATGTGCACGGAACTGCTGAAGAGATCGCTTCTAAATTAAGCTTTACCGACTTGGGACTCTTAAATGCACGGGTGAGCATATAATGTTGGAAAAGTCCATAAGGGGATGCCGCCGACGCTCCTCCCAGCTGTTGCGCACCCCCATATCACACATCCAAAACTGCACAGGTTGAACTCTTTGAGCTCATGTAACTTCACTGTGAGCAACCTATCTATCGAACATCCTTCGCACAGACTTGTCACTTTTCCAGCCATCCGGGAAGCTTCTTTGAATACAGTCGCTTTGAAACTCAACAGAAGGCTAAAACGACCCTTGCCATGTTCATCGCTTCCACAGCTCCAGCATTAAAGCAAATTGGCTGTGTAAACTCGTTTTTTGGCAGATGATTGTACATTCTAGCTGTTTTATCGAGATATATGCATTCAGAATGTACAGCCAAAAACCACAAGAACTTTCCGAACCACCTAATACACAGTACTGACATTCATGTGTTGCAGCCTAACTGTCTCACAGAGCACGTGAAAAACCAAGACTAACTTCATGAAATCCCCTAGAGAATAGCCTCAAACATCTATTTAATAAAATCAACAAGAAAAACAAGGCGCTTTGTAGTTAGGGGGTAATTTGAATCCACTAGTTGGTGCCGACTCCACGTTTCCTAATTTTTACAGGGGGGGGGGTGGAGGGACAAAGTTCCGGATCTAGGAGAGCGCAAATCGCGGGGGGGTGTGTTCCCTCCTGGTGTTGAAGAGAGAACTAGTAATAGGGGTTGGTGCATAAACAGGGTTTTGCATTTTATTTCTTCAACACCATGTGACAAGCAAAAAATAAAAACATAAAACTAATCAGTGATATTCACTTCGTCCTTACTTTCTTATCTACAACTGTGATTGCATTTCGCAGGATATCGCCGGATATTGAATTTAAAAAGAATATTGAGCTCGTTTTCGGAGTCATTATTATTCTCAATTTGTAGGAAATGGATATGATTTCAGTTTGAGCGAAAAAGGTAGAGTCGTTTATAGCAAGGTTCGATTAAAACTCAATAAAGAGTCAAAGCAGATAGTTTACAATTTGGGGTTTTCTTCTTAATTTAAAGCGAGGAATCGTCGCAGCTGTCGGAACGCCGATTTTCGCCGTCTGGATTTTCCGAAGCTCTACCCTGAGTACAGCTACAATGCTGAATTAAATGACGACTATGCCTCGTAGGAAGAGTACTTTCAAGCAAAATAAGCGGTTTCCCCGGGAGATACATACCTGTGACGTTTAAATAAATATTTGCTGTATTTCAGTGAAAAATGGGTAAATAGACATTTTTATAGGAAAAAAAGAGTAAGTAAACATTTTTTATATTAAAATTGAATTAAAATTATGACGAAATTGTACATTAATTCTCAAGTACTTTTGTAGATATACAGGCACCCATATTCAAATCTTATTTGATTTTTCACAAGAATCGGGGAATATCAATCCACTTGATGACTTGTTTTATTGGAGAAATTAATTTTCAACTGAACTCTTTGTCTTCCCTTCCCTTACTGATTAGCACCGAGGGAGGAGACTTTACTTGTTTAGTCTCCGTCTAAGGGTCACGTGCAAAACGGAGACTGAACGACTTCTTTGATCACCACCCCTTTAAACAAAAATGAACAGCTTAAGGAATAATGTTAAATTGCGGTTTAAACATCGTAATCAAGATAATAATAATTAGATTAGTTTGATTCAACCTCTTTCTATTATAAACATAAAGACTTCATTGTACTGATTGAATTTATATGCTCGAAAAAACACGCTACAATATTACGCTCCAACATAGTTTTTCTGAGCATATTTTTTTGAAGGTTCTAAGTGGCGGTGTCTTTGAACGTGAATTCCAAGGCCTGGATAGTCCCAAAGAAAGGAAAGCGTTTGTCGCGATCTCAAATGCGCTGGGTACTTCGTGCCACAAGTTCCTCTCCCCCTCCTCCCCAACTACACTTGAGCCCAGTTTTTGTTCCAACACATTAGCTCACAATTCTTTTCAACAACTTAGAAACAGCGTACCGTCGTTTCGGGGAGTTCTTCTTCTAGCACGTTCATTCCAGGTTTAGTTTTTTTTTAATTGAATCTGAAACCACGTAAATTTATTAGTGATGCTGAGAGAAATCAAAATCCCTTAAAGCCATAGAACGCTGGATTGAAAAATCTTACAAAATGCTGCTGAGAAAGGTTCTACTGAGGTAATATAAATGATAGAACTGAATACGGGATTCATGAGATTGACTAAAGAGCCATAGTCCGCTCAATCAACTAGCCACAGCTTTGTGTTGCACGAGCGAGACAGTGTCAGTACTCAATTGAGGATCAGGTTTTTCCAGGTAGTACTGCCATTCAGAAGTAAACAAAAAGGATCCAAGCGTCTGAATATTAGGTTATGGAAAAGTGAAGTCGATCGATCGGTCGCCGAATCGCTTAGGGCGGAAAGCGTCTCATAAACTTGTTTATTTTATTTGTTGCTATTTAAAAACAAATAATACACAGGATGGATTCGTGTGGAATGGAGAATTTGAGAATAAATCCTGTGAGAAACTCGCGCTGAGTAGTTTTCGCAGCTAAGAGGTTGCTACGTGAAGAATCAAATGAGGAGAAAATTGATCAGAATGATGAGAGATCAATGAGTGACCCATTAAAGAAAGGAGTGGAGTGATAAAACCAATGGGTAGTTTGGCGAGGGCTAAATATGAAAAAGTGAGCAGTCTATCCAACGCTAGTCGCAATTATGAACAGCTGATTTACTGCTGAGGAAAGCAGGGTGGCCGTAACCCGAATGTTCAGGCGTTTTTGAACGAGATCAACCAAAACGGGCGTTCGCAGACTTGTCGATTTCTTGGACGAAAAAAGCGTAAAATTGGCAGATTTGCCAATTTTTTTTGACAGAGATGGCTGGTGTTCGTTTTAGAAACGAAAGACCTCGAAAATGAGAATTCGTACAAAACCCGATCAATGGGAGGGTGTGAGGCGTAATTGGTCACATGCGGCTCGCTTTCACAAGGACAGTGCCGGCGAATGATGCGCCTACCACAGCTTTGTACTTTCTGTCGAAGACCCCCGATTCAAAACAACTGGTTCCGCCAGCCGACTGGTCGTCCTTTCAGTGCACTTTACCTCCTTCATCACTCAGAGAGCAACCATTCAGTCAGGGTCTCATCGAGTTTCACGCATGTTCCCGGTGATCTTGCTGATCAGTTTGCTTTGCAAAATAACCAGGTCGATACAGTTTTTGTAAATGACACAACGGACGCTGTTGGGTGATATTTATTCCAAATCTTCGTTAACAAATTGAAGTGCAATGGATGGATTTCCAGCCATTAGGCCACAGAAAAACAGTCCATATCATGTCGATTCATACAAAAGGTGAAAGTTCAGTTTGGGGGTCACTTCACTGTGTTCTTCAATCTTAAGATAAGAATGAGAGCGCCAATGACACGTTATCACCCATTCAAAACATACTTCTGATTAGTACCGGAGTAGTGTGGAAGTAACCCTGATGTGTTCCAACATTTTTGGGCTGCTGTGCTCCAAGGAAACGGTAGCGAATCAGGGATGGAGACCTTGCCTCGGCCTAAGGGTGGAGGAGCTCCAGGGTGGATGACCTGGTGCAGAAAATTGGATAGGATGTGGGCAGAATGTGTGGAATGTAGGACATCCACCGGTCCTTATCGAAAAGTACGCTTCGAAATTGAGTTGTTAAAATTATCTTATCCATAGTGTTAGAAAGCCCAAAGGAGTGGTCCAGGGCTAAGAGAGGTGATAGCAAGGAAGCTCCCCCTCCCCGAACTGGATTTTCACCATATAAAACACACAACATGCAATCGGACAGCCATACGATATGGGAATGTTGTTCGTTCTATACAGGCAAAAAGGGGGGCAAAAGGTAACTTTGTGCTTCCTCGTGCCAGTGGCTGTGCGTCGCTCGAAAAGGAAAAGCTGACGTACAGTGATAGATGAAATAATAGTAAGATGTTTACTGATAAGCAAATGCAATGCTTGTC